AAGGACCTAAGTGTGCAAACTAAAGCCATAAAATTCTTAGAAGAACAAGCAGGGGCAACGCTGTTAGGCCTAACTTTCAACAATGGATTATCTAATACAATAATAAAACTACAAACAGCAAAAGACAAAATAAATAAATGGGACCTCATAAAAATTAAAAACTTTTGTTCATCAAAAGACATTACCAAAAAAAATGAAAAGACAAGCTACTGACTGGGAGAATATCTTCGGAAACCATACATCCGACAAGAATCTGGTAACCAAAAAATATACAAAACTTTGATAGCTTAACCACAAAAAGACAACCCAATCATAAAATGGACAAAGGACTTGAATAGACATTTCACTGAAGAGGACATTCAAATGGCCACCAAACACATGAAAATATGCTGAGTGTCATTAGCCATCAGAGAGATGCAAATCAAAACCACAATGAGATAACCATTTAACTCCTACTAGGATGGGTAAGATAAAACAAAACAACAACAGAAAGTGTTGGCAAGGATATAGGGAAATTGGAACCCCTAACCATTGCTGGTGGGAATGTAAAATAGTACAGCGGTTATGGAAAACAGTATGGCAGTTGCTCAGAAAACTAAAAATAGAACTACCATATGACTCAGCAATTCCACTCCTAGGTATATACCCAGAAGACTTGAAAGCAGAGACTTAAAAAGAGACTTGTATACCATTGTTCATTACAGCACTATTCACAGTAGCCAAAAAGGTGGAAACAACCTGAATGAATGCCCATCAGCAAATGAGTGGTTAAGCAAAATGTGGCACATACATACAATGGAATACTACTCAGCCAGTAGGAAAAATGAAGTCTTGATACATGCTACAGTATGGATGGAGCTTGAAGACATTATACTGAGCAAAATAAGCCAATCACAAAAGGACAAATATTGTATGACCTCACTTACGTAGAAATACAAGAAAAGGCAAATGAATAGAGACCAAAATTTATTAGTGGTACCAAGGGCAGGAGAGAGGGGGAAAAGGGGGGTTAACGGTAATGGAAAAATCAAATTGATTAAAGGTAGGGTTGCACAGCCAGTTACTGTAATTGCTGCAAAAATTACAATAAGTTGTACACTTGTAAAAAGTTGAATTGGCAAAAATTGTGTGATAGATATATTTACAACAGTGACAAAAAAAAAAGAGTAGCTACTGAGGCTGCTTATGTACAACCAAAAACCTCATGGGATTTGGTTTCTTGGTGTGGAGGTTTAGGGTCATGGTTTCATGCGGCATCCCAGTTTATTGGCCTGATAATGTGTTTGGTGCTTCTGTTTTACCTCCTAATTCATTGCGTAGCGCTTGCAAGCAGCCATCCAAGACACAACAATTGGTCTCTATTCACCTGGAGCAACAGAGGAGGAAAGAGAGTCAGGAAAATAGGAGGAAGATATGGAATGTGTGGCTAATTGCCTCCATGAACAGCTGTCTCCTTTGCCATGAGAGCAGAAGAACTGATTGGTGCCCAGCTACCATTACTGAACATTTTAATCAAAATTCTATAGAAGAATCCTGATCAAAAGGGGGGAAATGCAGAACAGAATTTCAGATTTTCATGGCTTCCAAACTTCCTGGAGTCATGAATGTTGGGTGAACCCCTGAAACTATTGCCCTGAGATAATCTTTAAACCTTAAACAAAAAATATCCCCTGAAGTCATCTTAAAACCTTAAAATAGCTTAGCTTAACTAGTGAAAAAGGTCTACCTTGAACATTATGCTCTTTTAAGAACTATCTATAGGATCAAATTGACAGCAGCAACTTGAAAGATTAGATAGGAACCTTAGAGGGCAGTGAGTTTATTTAATGAAGGAGGAACAACTCAGAAAAGTAGGGTGAGAATCGTTGCACAACTCGAAGAATGTAATCAGTGTCCCTAAATTGTACATGTAGAAACTGTTGAATTGGTGCATGTTTTGCTGTGCATATTCTCAAGAACAAAATAAAACCTGGAGAAACAAAAAAACAAACTCGATGGATTATAGCAGTCCTATCTGCAACCAGTCAGTTGTGCATCGGGTTGGCTTGAGTCAGACTCCACGGCAGCTGACAACAACAACAGATAGATTAGGGAGGGACACTGACATTCAAAAATTCGTTTATAGCTGAAGATCATTTATTCTACTCCTAATATTTTTAGTGTTTTGGTAATCATTCATTCGTTCTACAGCGTTGAATGTCCACATATCAGCATTGTGGATAAGACTTCTTAAGGAGCAACCTCCAATGGAGGAGTCCAACATGTAAATAAATAATTTTAATATAGCATCAGTGTATGTTAGACTTGTGAATGATTTCCAGATATTTTAATTCCAAATTTAAAACCTTGAGCAGTTATGCCAAAACATACTGCTTATTTAAAAAAAAAAAAAAAAAAAGCCTTTTCTTCTAATCCTATATTCTTTATTCTGTCTGAATTTTAAAGACCTAGAATTTACACTGAGGATTTAAAAGTTAGCTCTTGGTTTATTCAGGGCGAGATTGATCAGTGTAGTTAACTCTGTGCTAAGGATGGTCATGGATTTAAATTTACTGTGTGGTGGTTACCTTTCCTTGTTTAGTGGCTCCAATCTGTCCACCCATCATTCATCTCCCGTAGCCATAGTTATCCTTCTCTAAAATGTCTACCCTTGATCCCAGGGGAACTGACAGAGTGTGTATGAATCAACATTAATGGGCAGAAGGCTCTGAGATCTTTGTATACAAAAGCTCACATCATTTGTTAGGCTTTTTCCTAAGGCCCATGAAAGAAACTAAACCAGAAGTTCTCCACACACCAAAATCTTTAAGAAGAGTCAAGTGTTATCAATAATTCTACTGCTGTTACTACCTAGCTTCCTGTTTGGCCAAGTGGTTGCTGCTTGGAGAAGCTTGATCATTTCATTACCAGTCTTGCAAATGATAATGAGGAAGGTCAGTGTACCTCCGAGAGCAGTAACGAATTTCCAGGTCTAGTGTAAAAAGCAAGGAATTCTTCCATGAGCTGGTTCCCTTGTCGCAGATAATAAACCACAAGCCATATTTAAAATACAGTCTCTGTAGACATTGGTGCTGTGCACTGCAAACAGCTGTTTCATAGTCTCTCTTTTGAAGTATTCAAACTTCTACAGAATATATCTGTATATATTTCTAAATATATTATTAATATGTAAGAATCTGCATTTTTTTAAAAAATCAGAGTACCAGTAGGAAAAATCTCTGATCTGTATATTTGTAGTAAAATCTTGCCATAAATTATGGTATCAGTTGGGTCAGTCTCTTGGTCTCTTTATCTCATGAATGAAAGTAACAATACAGCTCCCTGTTTTCTCTCTCTTAAGATTAAATTTCAAGAAATATTTATTGTGTGGAAATAAAACTCAGTCCTTGATCTAAGGGGTTTATAGTCTGCTAGGGAAGACAGATCTATAACTGGATAATTATAATACAGTGTGGAATTTCAAAAGTAGACATGTCAAAATCCAGAAGTAACTCCTGGGAAGGAATGATTAATTATTTGACTGTCAAAGGAAAAGAGGGAAAATAGCAGAGAAGGATGACTAGACTCATGCCAGGGGACAATGTCAGGGAAAAGACGTTTCAAGAAGAAGGACTAGCAAGTGCAAAGTTACAGAGATGTGAAATGCCCAGTGTACTCTGAGAGCTAGAAGTAATTTTGTATTTTTGTCAAAAATGCTATAGGGCCCAATACAGGAGAAGTCAGCACAATTACACTAAACCAAAAGCTAAGAAGTTTCCTGAACACAGCCAAACACTCTGAGGGACATAGTAGCTGGGGCTGGGGTCTAGGGACCATGGTTTCAGGGGACATCTAGGTCAACTGGCATGACAAAATTTATTAAGAAAATATTCTGCATCCCAGTTTGGTGAGTGTCGTCTGGGGTCTTAAAACTTGCAAGCGGCCGTCTGAGATGCATGAATTGGTCCCAACCCACTTGGAGCAAAGGAGAATGAAGAACACCAAAGACTCAAGGAAAATATTAGCCCGAGAGACAAAAGGCCCACATAAACTAAGACTCCATCTGCCTGAGACCAGAAGAATGAGATAGTGCCCGGCCACCACCAATGACCGCCCTGACAGGAATGCAACAGAGAGTCCCTGGTGGAGCAAGAGAAGAGTGTATTGCAGAACTCAAATTCACATAAAAAGACCAGACTTAATGGTCTGGCTGAGACTGGAGGGACGCCAGAAGACATGACCCCTGGATGCTCTGTTAACCCGGAACTAAAACCATTTATGAAGCCAACTCTTCAGACAGAGATTAGACTGAACTATAAAACATAAAATAATACTCGTAAAGAGTGTGCTTCTTAGTTCAAGTAGATACACGAGACTAAGTGGGCGGCTCCTGTCCGGAGGCAGGATAAGAAGGCAGAAAGGAACAGATGCTGGTTGGTTGGACATGGGAAACCCAGGGTAGAAAGGGCGAGTGTGCTGTCACATTATAGGGATTGCAACTAGTGTCACATAACAATATGTGTATAAATTTTTGTATGAGAAATTAACTTGAGCTATAAACTTTTACCTAAAACACAATTTAAAAAAAAAAAAAAAGTTGTAGGAGAAGTTAAAGCAGGTGAGATTCATGACCGTGTGTAGTTTAGGAAGATCACTCTGACAGAATGGTTTGGAGGGGGTGAGAATAAAGACGGGAAGGCTAGGTAGAAGTTGGTGCTTAACTTCGGTGGAGCAGTGAGGTCAGTGAACTAACATGTAGTGGCCGAGGAGATGGCGAGGAAAGGACTGAGCTGAGAGCTCATCTGTTCCAGAGGTGGAATAGCAAAGACTTGGTGATTGACCAGAGAGCCATATATGCCTTAAGATGTATGGCTTCCTCCAATACCCCCAGGTTACTTTTTAATTGTTCACACTCCTAGTTTCAAATTAGTTATCCTACTTCTTCCACTATTCAGAGAAGGAGGAGGCCTTTTGTGTGTTTATTTTTGCTAAAGCCCAGACTAATGCTGTGTTCTTTTTAGGTGAGGTGGGCAGACCTGGAAGAAAAGAAGGACGCAGACAGGAAAAGGGCCATAGGTTTTGTGGTCGGACAAACTGATTGGGAGAAGATCACAGATGAAAGTGGTCACCTGGCTGAAAAAGCCCTCAATCGAACCAAATACATATGAGACTTAGTTTTTGAACGGAATCATTGTTCCTCTAAGGTAAGAGTGCACAGTCATATAAATAGCCTACTGTGTGATTGCTTTGGAGGGTTTGAGATAAACAAGACAGCACGCTTTACTAAAAATGCTTGTCTTCCCTTTGTTATTTTCTCGTTCTAAAAAGAGTAAGTATGTACTAGTTGCTAACACTGACAATACCGGGAAGCAATAAAGGGAAGCAATTTTCTGTAACCTGACCCACTTATAAAATATGAGACCTGAGAAAAGCTTGCATTCTGTAGATTTGAGAAGGAGTGGAGTGATGTGAACTATCTGCCTGTTCTTCCCTGGCTTGACAGCCTTTTCGTTTCTTTCCAGGTGGTTCGCTTTGAGATGATCTGAAGCCAAGGCCTCACAGAGCTTCGTTGTGTGTCACCTTGCTTCCATGTTTCAGTTTTTGTTTTGTATTCTACTGCTTTAGTTTTTTAAAGTTCTCCAGTGTCCCCAAGAGGTATTAGAATCTTGCTGTATGCAAGCAAGACATTAATTTTTCTTTTTAACTATTTTGGGGAGGGAGGGAGTGATAGCTTAACTTCTGAAGCCAGATGGGTCCACTGGAGGATTCTGACAGAATATTTCCTTCACTGTACAATGTCACAGACTATCTCTATCATCATTGCTTTGTGGCTGTTTTTGTTTTTTACTGTATGTAACTGGTAGCTGATTGTAGTAGGATTAAAAACAATAAACTTTCATGATAAAGCCAATGAAATTCATGGGCTGTATAGCATGGGCCCATTTCTCGTTTGTTTTCTTAATTTTATTTTTATTTTATGTGTCCTAATTCCATGCTAGCTGAACATCTGAAAACCTCTTTCCCGTTGAATATTACATAGCTCAGTGATTCCATAGTGCATGTTATAAATGCAAGGTTCACTGATGTTCAAACACTCATCTTTGTTTTATAGCTGATTTCTTTATCTATCTTAGTGTCTTGAAGACTGTTAAAGACCAATTTCAAATATTTGTCGGCTCCCTGGAGCATATCTGTTCTGTAACATGATGTTTTCTTTTGAACTTTGTTTTTTAGTCCTTCCTCCTACTCGCCTTCTCTTCTTTACTTCCTCTTTTCACTTTCTCCCTTTATATTATTGTTTGGTTTTTACGTAATCGGGCTTTGAAATCTTGGTGGACAGAACTGATATGCTCCATGGAACTCAGGAGCTTGTTGCCTTACTGCTGAACTTGAATTGTTGATTTTTTTAATCAAGATTGCAGGGAAAGAGTATAGAGATGCAGAGCCCTCTGGCATGTAACCTTGAAGCCTGCCAAGTTTTCAAGTTCTTGCCAGATTGCTCATTATTGGAAAGCATGGCCTTTTGCACAGAATTTCCTCTCTCTGGATAATACCAGGTGGAACCCAGAAACATACAGAGCTAAAGCCCAGATACTATACCCACTCCTCACTTACTGACATGGTTAGGTTCCAAAGACCAGGTTGTTATGTGAAAATCGGCATTATGTGAAAATGGAGGATGACCACATTAGATCACAAAATGGAGGATGACTACATCATTACATAACTGCCAAACCACTGGGTATCATAACCTCGCCAAGTTGACACGTAACTATCAAAACCAGCATTACTCTCATCCCGCACCTTGGTGTTCGTTACTGCCAGACGTACGTCGATAATGTGCAATATAGTCAGGTAGTAGATTTTTTACTGTTGCACATAAATGCAGAATGTTGGATAATGAAGTAATCGATAAGTGAGGAGTAGGTGTATTCCTATTTAAAAACAGAAAACGAGCTCTTTTCCTTTTTTCATTCTACAAAGAAATGAAGTCATCTTCCAGCATGAGAGAAGAGCTTTCTTCCTCAAACACCATTTCCATTTTATAATCCAACTCAGCAAGTTGTAAGTTTGTTGACAAAAAGCTTGAGTATTTTGAACTGTTCTTTTTCAGGCTACAGACCAGGAATCCTTTAGTTTTATGACCTAGATTAAATACTGTGTGAATAGAGCTAATATTTACTAGCATTTGAATAATACCACTTTGGGATAAAGAACTTGAAATTATTGTACTGAAGACTAATGGGAAATCCTGATGACCTTATATACTTTTATCTTCCCTGAAATTCTGAATGTTTAAATGTGAGATGCTTTAAGTTCATTAACCAGTCAATATTGAACAGGTAGTTTGCTACATTAAATAACTTCTGATGTTTGTAGTATTTAATAAGATATTTCGTTTGCTTATTTGGCCTACAGTACATTTGTATGTACTCATCTTTCTCAACAATATTTATTATGTTGAATGAAGGTACATCACAGGAATTATTGTTTGTACAGTGACCCATTTACTAGTTACCAAATCTACTGGTGTCTTTTATCATCAAAAACAAAACTTCAAGAGTGTATTCTCTAGTTCAGAAGAAAATGGAGGCATACGTGTTCTTCTAGAGGATAGTTCATGTTAGTTGTCCTTAACCTTTTTCCCTCTGATTGACAATATTCAGGATAAAACCCAAAACCAAACCCGTTGCCCTTAGAGTTGATTCCAACTTAGGGCAACCCTGTGGTATTCAGGATGCCATTGGCCATATGCAGATTGGCATAAGAGGTGGTAATCACTGATGGATTACTCATGTTTTTGCCTTGCAGCCGTGACTTTGTGTCTGTGCTCTCATGCCAAGAAGGCTCTTTGAAGAGTGACTAGAGTCAGAAATGGCCTCTACCAGTTTTCAGAAGACATAGATTAAGATGGTCTCTGGGATGAAGATAAGAGTGTTGCCTACTTTAGGAAACTGGTATAACGAATAACCTCAATGAAGGGAGATTAATGAAAAAGATATATTTGAAAGTCAGGGATTAGGCACCAAAAAGAAAGTAATACTCAACTGGTATTTGACTTTGCTAGTCTGATATGGGCCTGTTAAGAAATTCTTGGAGTGGCATTATCATTAGAAGCAGAATACGATAGGAAGTCCAAGGATATCTTGGAGAAATTTGGTGTGGGTAGAAAATGCCTTCCTATCTCAGATATTTTAAGTTTGTTAAGAGGCATGTCCTTGGAATATAACGGACTAAACTTGGATTCCATTTATCTGCTAGCATTTTATTTTTATTATTTTCTTATCTCAGAAAACTGCTTGGTATGTGTTTTTAAATTTTTGTCTTAATCATATTAGATTTATTTAAAATTGTTTGTGGTGTCTTTTGTCTTAACACAAAACAGTCTGATGTTGGGGCAAGTCCCTAATATCTTTAATGTTTCAGATCTTTTCAAGAAAATTTGAAGTCTCTCCTAGGCAAGTGACTTGGTAAATGAAATGCAAGAACTTTTCCATTTGGGAATCATTTATTTAGGGTTAAGTTGGCATATTCAAAATATTTTAGTTACTGATTGCAGAGATGGGAAGCTGGTAATAATATAGTGGTCCATTTGTTGACACTCATTTGATTCACATAATTTTATAAAAGTTTGAATTTAATTCAGATATCAGTGACTAACCCAGAAGTTTATTAACAAAGATAAAATCTTCAGTTTCTGGTTGGATTTATTTCCTTTGTTAAGGAGTTCTTGTCATTGATTGGACAAACCAAAGTAGGTACCATCTCATCTACAGACGAAGTATTAAATTAATTGGATTGACTAAAAATTTCAGCCTAGGTTTTCTTACTTTGGAGGGCTCTTAGTTTTTGTGCAAAAATATTTTATCTTGCTAACTGAGCAAGTTGCAATTATTTTGGTAATAGACACCTGGAGCCTGGCTTACTGCTAGGACTGTAAAAGCAGCAGGTTCTTAGCTACAACAAAAACATAACAGATTTTAGAGTTTTAATTCTGAGCTACCAAAACAAGATGAGTTTAATTAAGCTAGAGAAAAAGAACGTATTAGTATGCATTTAGTATGTATTAGAATGTATTTAGTAGTGACAGACCCTAGTACAAATTCAGGCTCCTCTTAGAAGCTGTGTGACCCTAAGCAAATCACTTAACCTATCTGGGCTTCAGGTTCCTTATCTATAAAATGAAAATAACAAACACACCTACTAAAGATTGCTGTGAGGATTAAATTGAGATAATGCATGTAAACTGCTTGGCACAATAACAAGAACGTAAAGCTCAGGAATCGGTAGCTGTCATCATTATTATTACTCTTTCACTTGTTCTCACACGCTATTTTGAATTTCAGAATTTCCAGTTTGGTTGGAGGTAATGGTCTCCTTTTGTAGTCAGCTACTATAGACTGGTGGCGCAGTGGTTAAGAACTCAGCTGCTAACCAAAAGGTCGGCAGTTTGAATCCACCAGCCGTTCCTTGGAAACCCTACGTGGGCAGTTCTACTCTGTCCTTTAGGGTCGCTATGAGTTGGAACTGACTGAACGGCACATAACAACAACTATAGACTGAGAGCTGTGTCATATGAAGTAGTACAGTGTGCGTGGGTTGGAAGAAGAATTGTTCAGAAGCATTTTCTGGTAACCAGGGACACTGAGCTTCAGAACCACTATGGAGGCATATGAGGCTTAGGCGCAAAGGCTGATTAATAAGTACCTTCATGAGGATGGGTAGTAAATAACAGAAAGCAGTAGCCAGACTACAGGTGTGAACAAAAGTGAGGGCAGTGAAGCATTAATTTGCCTTGATTTTCACATAGTCAAAAAGAAAATAATTTTATGAATAGGTAATATATTCATATGGAATAAAATTCAGAAGGTTCAAGGGAGTATTAAAGTCTCTCGTCCCAACCCCCACCTCCCACTACCTCATCTGTAGAGGCAATCAGAGTTAACTTTTTCTTTTGTGTCCTTTCAGAAAAATTCCATGAATAAGCATTAAATACATACATTTTTCCTGTTTTTTTTTTATTTTTTTTATTTTTGGTTTACCCAAATGGTGGAATGTTACAAACACTACCTTGTTTTTTTCCTTTAACAGTATGTCTTACAGGTCATTCAGATTATATGTAAACATACCCATTCTCATTCTCTCTCCTGGTTTAATTTTCCAAAGGTACATTCTAATTATAAGGGGATTTACTGAAAAATTTTAGAAATTGCTTCAACTATTTTTCTACATATATGTCTATAGCATGGAATATATTGTTTTTGTGTGTGTATGTATTTAGTTCTACACAGTTTGATCACGTGTAGGTTTGCGTATCCATTCCCACCTTCCTCCCTCCCCCACCTCATCCCTAACAGGCGTTAATCTCTTCTCCATTTGTATAATTTTGTCATTTCAGGAATGTTATATAAATGAAAGCATACAGTATGTAATCTTTTGGGATTGGCTTTTTATCTTTTTTCACTTGGTGTAATTACCTTGAGATTCATCCAAGTTTCTGTGTGTATCAACAGTTTGTTCTTTTTTATTGCTGAGTAGTATTCCATCCCATTCTTTTTTATGGCTGCAGAGAATTTCATTTTATAGCTCACCATAGTTTAATTTTCCCGGTCTCCACTGATGGATATTCATGCTGTCTTTTACTGTTATAAATTGTTGATTTCATATATTCTCATCACTGCCATTTCCTGTACTTGCCTAATCTCTAACAATGATGACATCCTTTACTTAGAGAGCCTCAAAAGGTGACGGGCACGTAAGAGCCTGCACAACACAGTGGTGAACAATCAACAGAGCCTAATAGTGATGAGGTGGCAAAGGCAGATCTTGTTTCCTGGAAATTCCTGCATGATAGGATCTGACAAAGCAAAGAACCATGGTGTGTTTTAAGAGACTGGAGTGGCCAGAGACCCTTAGGGTTCCCTGGTCCACACAGGTGACTGAGAGTTAAGACCTTAGGCTCCTGTCCTCGGTGCCTGGATATTTATGCACCTGCACGTGATCTGATCTCAGGCCTCAGGCTCTGCTGTGTTCACATTTGACAAGGAATATCCTCAATACTGGGGCTAAGCTTCTGGAGGTATGGACAGCCCTCGGCCTGCCAGCAGGCCAGCAGGGCCTCGTATTTGTGTTTCTAAGAAAAGCCTGTGGATTTAATGGTTTACTGTGTAAGGGAAGGCTTGAATTTGAGCTTCCTATTTAAGAACTTTCTACCAAATATTGATACTCTTGTTTTTGATCATATTGATCTAGATTACAAACCCTTCTCTTACTGTATTTGAAGAATTGAAATCATCTCTTCTGCCTTAACTTGAAATCCTACTCTCAGATCTATTATTTCTGGCAGTGAGTTCCTATTTCATAACTAGGTATATCTAATATTTGTTTCTTTTACAACTAGTTCAGTGCATGGCTCAACTATGAGTCAATGGAAGGTTTGTCTCTAGTGTGTATGGTGGGTCACAAACTCCTGCAGAGTCGGGAGGTAACAGATGAGTAAGGCATAAGGTGGAGACCATGGCAAACTGGAGAACGAGGCAGGTCCCGCTAAATAGAGCAGTGCCTGCGCAGCCACAGCTGGTTGTGGCTCTGTGGAGATACGGATCTTGTGTTGCCAGATTTTCTGGGTTTTCAAGAAAAGTCAAATCTGTATCTTTATGCAAGATCTAATATTTTGGCACCAGGAACTTTTTTCAGTTTTTGTTTTGTTTTCCTGTAAGTGCTTTGGCCCGCAGTCTGCCTGCCACATCTGACTTGAGGACTGCCAGTTTGAAACTCTGGATGTTTAGAAAATAGATTGGAGAGACCTTAGAGTTCATTTTGGTCAAACTCCTCATTTTACTGAAAGAAGAGAATTGGCTTGCTCAAAGTCTCACATTTAGTCGATGGCAAAGCTAGGCCAGAACTTGGGTTTCCTGATCCATAGCATGGTGCTTTCTTTTTCCTTAAGTACAACACCTCCTTTCTGAGAACATTTATAAGTTCTGGGACAGTGAATACTCCAGTATCGTGTTGTATGCGTGGGCATGCATGTGTGTTTACTAAATTCAGTGGACCCCAAAATACATTCTCTTTTAAATATGTCTGTCAGGGACAATGAGATTCAGTGGATTACCGCTGAAACCATCTTACTTGAACTCTTACAGGTGTAAGGTAGCTGTACACCTAGGATCTCGTTTAAACATTTATTACTTGATAAATCGTTTGATATGTCTTTTTAATCACAGAAGCTTAAAAATTAATGAGTATTGCATTAAATTATTGTACAAGAACAATGGGGGTTTTCTGTATTTGTTGTTGTGTGTGCCATCAAATCGATTCTAATTCATATCACCCTTAGGACAGAGTCTAACTGCCCTGAAGGGTTTCCTAGACTGAAATCTGTACAGAAGCAGATTGCCACATCTTTTCTCCTGTGTAGTGATTGGTGGCTTCAAACTGCCAACCTTGTGGTTTGCAGCCAGGCACTTAACCATTGTGCCACAAGGGCACTTTGTTTTCTGTATAGAGGAGAGAAAATCATTTACGTATTGATGTTCAGATTGATTTTAGAAGTAATTTTGTTTTCTGTAGTTTGTAATTTCTTATGCAATGTTACTAGCCTATTTGCTTTAGCTTTGGTGACAAGCATCTTATCCTGCTTCACTTGGTGGTTCCCCATTACCTGCCTTATTAAGGATAGACTTACCAAGCTGGCATTGAGTTCTCTCAATAACAGGATCCCAACTACTTCTCCAGCTTCCTCTTCCACTGTTCTTAGTACATGTATCCTACACTGCAGATTGAACGCTCCCTACAGTTTCCTGTTTTTCTGCCTCCCATTTCTCTCATCCTTTAGAAATTGTAACTATCTTACAAGGCCCAGCTACTTCCTCCCTGAAGCTGTTCCTGATCTTTCTGTCTTGCTCCTGCCTCCCAATTCTCTGGCCTTTATTTTTACTTGTCCCACCACCTTTTCTTTATTTGCCTTTCTAATAGAGTAACGTATAGATTTGTCCTATCCTTCTTCCCCATCATTTTTCCTACTCCCAAATACAAGCTCCTAGAAGGTAAGAGCTATGTTTTACTCATCTTCCATCCTTACAATATTGTACCGTATGTATAGTTGGTGCTCAACAAGCGTATTTAGAATTGATGGCATAGTGAACTTTAAATAATAAAATTCACTCGTACAGGTCAACATATGCATAATTTACAAAACTCCAATCTTTGCGTTTGCTTTTTCACTGCCTCTATATTTTCAGGTTGGTAGCTTATCCAATAGGTATTATACAAACCAGGCATTGTAAATTCAAATGCTTACAATGGACAGGAAAGTATTATAAATGAGATCATTGGACAATTGTTTCATAATGGCATGTTAAGTAATATTCTTTGAGCAGAAACATTACTTTGTTTGCAAATTAGACATGTCTGAATGTTCTTCACTCATGGAAAAGTATCCTCTTTCCCATTTTTCTTGAAACATTTGACATTCTCCATCTGTCCTTAATTAACTTTTAGTAGAGATGTGAATACAAGTATTAATTTTCTTCTTAACTCTACTGTGAGAAAAACAACAGCAGAAGCAGAATAAAATATGGCAACTGACCCTTAGCCTCAATGTTGAGGAGGCAATAGGGCATGGTGGGTACTGGGATGATGCAGAGTGCTTGCCCTATCTCAGTGAGATAGTTCTTCTCCGACCATTTGTGGGACCAATTGGAACCCTTATCCATTGCTGGTGGGAGTGCAAAATGGTACAGCCATTGTGGAAAACAGTGTGGCAGTTCCTCAAAAAACTAAAAATAGAACTACCATATGTCCCAGCAATTCCACTCCTAGGTATATACCCAAAAGACTTGAAAGCAGAGATTTGTAAACCAGTGTTCACTGAAGCACTATTCACAATAGCCAAAAGGTGGAAACAACCTAAATGCCTATCAACAGATAAATGGATAAACAAAATGTGGCACATACATACAATGGAATACTACTCAGCAAGTAGGAGAAATGAAGTCTTGATACATGCTACAGTATGGATGGAGCTTGAAGACATTATGCTGAGTAAAATAAGCCAATCACAAAAGGACAAATATTGTATGACTTCACTTACATCAAAAGACAAGAAAAGGCAAATGTATAGAGACCAAAATTTATTAGTGGTACCAGGGGCAGGAGGGGGAGGGGAAGGGGACTAACGGTGATGGAAAAATCACATTAAAAGCAGGTTTGCACAGCCAATTATTGTAATTACTGTCAATAAGTTGTATGCCTGTAAAAAGTTGCATAAAAAGTGTGTGATATATTTACAACAACGATAAAAATGTAGCTGCTGAAGTTGCTTACGTACAACCAAACACTTCATGGGATTTAGTTCCTTGGTTTGGAGGTTTAGGATCATGGTTTCATGGGACATCCCAGTTAACTGGACTGATAAACGTGTTTAGTGCTTCTGTTCTACCTCCTAGTTTGTTGTGTAGTGCCTGGGGTCTTAAAAGCTTGGAAGCAGCCATCCAAGGTACAACAATTGATCTCTCTTCAGCTGGAGCAGCAGAGGAAGAAGGAGAGTCAGGAATAGAAGGAGGATATGGAATGTGTGGCTAAATCCCTCTATGAACAACTGCCTCCTTTGCCATGAGAACAGAAGAACTGGATGATGCCTGGCTACCATTACTGAACATTTTGGTCAAAGATCCGATAGACAAATCCTGGTCAAAAGGGAGAAAATGCAGAATTTCAAATTCTCATGGACTCTAGGCTTTCTGGAGCCATGGAGGATGGATGAACTCCTGAAACTATTGCTCTGAGATACTCTTTAAACCTTAAACCAAAAATCCCCTGAAGTCATCTTAAAACTGAACAGTAGTTTGGCTTAACTAGTGAAAAAGGTCTGCCTTGAGCATTATGCTCTTTTAAGAACTATCTATAGGGGATCAAATTGACAACAGCAACTTGAAAGACTAGATAGGAACCTTAGGGGGCAGTGAGTTTATTTAATGAAGGAAGAACAACTCAGAAAAGTAGGATGAGAATCGTTGCACAACTCGAAGAATGTAATCAGTGTCCCTAAATTGTACATGTAGAAACTGTTGAATTGGTTTATGTTTTACTGTGTATGTTCTCAGAACAAAATAAATAAAATTTAGAAGAAAAAAAATTACTGAGTATCACCTGTAAGTACTGTGCTCCTTTAAAAAATCTCCTATATGAGACCAAAAAATTACTTTAAAATAAAGATGACAGTATGAGGGCAGGGAAACTAGATTAATTGAAACAGAACAACGAAAATGAGAATAAGGAGAATTTTCATGCATTGTGAAGAATGTAATCCATGTCACTGAACAATTTGTGTATAAATTATTGAATGA